CAGAGTGAGACTCCAACTCAAAAAAAAAAAAAAAAACAAGCAAACAAACAAAAAGTCATCACTAAACCCACGGTCACCAGACTTTCTCCGATGATTTCTTCAAGAAGTTTTGTGTTTTGCATTTTACTTTCTGACCGAGTTTGAATCCATTCAGAACTAACTTCTGTGGACAGCGTGAGTCTGTGTCTGGACTATCTTGTGCACGCAGGTGCCCTCCTGCTGAAAAGGCGAAGAGGGCCCTTCCTCTACTGGACTGGCTCTGCTCCTCTGTCAGAGACAAGCTGACGGTATCTGTGTGTGCCTGTTTCTGGGCTCTTGATTCGGGTCCATTTATCTGTGCATCTGCTTTGTCACCACCACACTGTCATGAGGACGATAGCTTGACCATAAGTCCGGAGCCTGGGGAGTGTCAGCCTTCCAACGCTGTTCTTCCATATAGTACAGCTGCATAAAGCTTATTTATATTTTCAATGTATTGTATTTACTTATTTGTAGTAAGCACCTATATATATTTTATATGACTAAAACATGTAAGCAGGTTTCACAGACTAAGTTTTTTTTTGAGTTGGAGTCGCAATCTGTCACCCAGACTGGAGTGTTGTGGCACATCACAGCCACCCCAGCGTCGACCTGCTGGGCTCTGGTGATTCTTCCGCCTCAGCCTTCCAAGTAGCTAGAACTACAGGTGTGCGCTACCATGCTCGGCTAATTTTTAAAACATTTATTGTAGAGGCAAGGTATCGTCAAGTTGCCAGGGCTGGGCTTGAACCTGCGGGCTCAGGCAATTCACTCACCTTGGCCTCCCAAAGTGTTGGGATTACAGGCTGAGCCGCCGAGCCCAGCCTAACATACTAAATTTTTTAATGGAATGAAAAATTAATTACAGGCCCCTTAGAAGTGTCGGACTCTCCCCCATGGTCACCCACACACACGCATCAATGAACTGAGGCACATTCACGCAGCAGGAACTCCCCAGCAAGGCTGCTGAACCAGCACTGGAAGACACAATAACACCTGTGTCATGGAGTATTCTGGGTGGAAGAGGCCAGACACAGAGGAGTCCACGCTGGGCGACTCCATTGACATGAAACCAGAATAGGCGAAACAAATCCCTGTGGAAGGCTCTGTGTCTTCCAGGTCAGGTATGGAGGTCTGATGGCAGGGCCAGAGGAAAGCGAGGCATTTTCTAAATCTCCACGCAGCACCAGGCATATGGCTGTATGCGTTTGTCAAAATTCACTTATCTACTTCAGTTAGATATACATAATATTAACTATAGGTCAATATTTGACTTAAGAAGAGTGACAGAACCTGTTAGATGCATAAAAAGAACCCCGATACACAAGCTGAAATTGAGAGCTTAAGAAAAAAAAGTTAGTTTTCTAAATCTTTAACTTTAATAACATAAATATTCATTTTTAAAAACAAGGGCAACCTTGTCTAGGCGCGGTGGCTCATGTCTATAATACCAGCACTTTGGGAGTCGGAGGCAAGTGGATTGTTTGAGCCCAAGCGTTTTGAGACTAGCCTGGGCAATATGGCAAGACCTTGTCTCTACAATAAAATCAAGACATTGGCCAGGAATAGTGCTGCACACCTGTAGTTCTAGCTACTTGGAGGCTGAGGTGGAAGGATCACCTGAGCTCAGCAGGTCGAGGCTGCGGTGGCCATGAGTGTGCCACTGAACTCCAGCCTGGGTGACAGAGACTCTGCTGACTCAAAAAATAAAAAAATAAAAATAAGGGTAACCTTTAGAAGAAAAAAATAAGTTTTTCCTAGATAAGAAACCTACTTTCAAGCCAGGCTTAATGGCTCAGCCTGTAATCTCATGCTTTTGGAGGCTGAGGTGAGTGGATTGCTTGAGCCAACGGGTTCGAGACCTGCCTGGGTAACTTGGCAAGACCTCATCTCTAGAATAAATCAAAAAATTAGCCGGGCGTGGTAGCGCGCACCTGTAGTTCCAGCTATTTAGAAGGCTGAGGCAGAAGGATCACCAGAGCCCAGCAGCTCGAGGCTGTGGTGGCTGGGAGTGTGCACTGCACTCCAGTCTGGGCAACAGAGTGAGACTCCAACTCAAAAAAAAAAAAAAAGAAACCTACTTTCAGAGCCTAGACATAGTGGCTCCTGTAATCCCAAGTACTTAGGGAGAGACTGAGGCGAGAGGATTGCCCAAGAGTTAGAAACCAGCAGAGGCTGGGCTCGGTGGCTCAGCCTGTAATCCCGCGCCTTGGGAGGCTGAGGTGAGTGGATTGCCTGAGCCCGTGAGTTCGAGACCCACCTGGGCAGCGAGACTTCATCTCTACAATAAATAAAAAAATCAGCTGGGCGTGGTAGCATGTGCCTGTAGTTTCGGCTACTCGGAAGGCTGAGGCGGAAGGATCACCGGAGCCCAGCAGGTCGAGGCTGCGGTGGCCGGGAGCAGCCACTGCACTCCAGTCTGGATGACAGAGTGAGACTCCAAAAAAAAAAAAAAAGAAAGAAATCAGCAGAGGCAACATAGTGAGACCTCATTTCTACAAAAAAATTGAAAAATTAGCCGGGTGTGGTTGCATGTACCTGTATTTCTAGCTACTCAGGAGACTGAGGCAGAAGGATCACTTAAGATAAGGACGTTAAGGCTGTAGTGAGCCTCACGTGAGCATATCACTACACTCCAGCCTGGGCAACAGTGAGACTGACTCAAAAAAGAAGAAAAAAAACTATTCTCAGGGTGCCGAGTAGCTCCCACACATTAGACTCAAATCAGCCCCACAGCCTCCGGGATGCCTGCCCAGGAGCACCCAGTCCCAGTGCAGGTGCCATGTGGCTACAGGACTCCTGGGTGAAGCAGTGCAGGTCCAGAGTGCGTGGTGATAACGGATGCAGGACAGATGCACCACAGCAATTTCACTGTAAGCAGCAGCAGAATGGTGGCCAGTGCTGGGTGACCAGGGGCAGCTGGAGCTTTCCAGAACATGCCAGGACCAGGTCAGTACCGCCAGCGGAATTATAGGGCCAGGAGGGGCAAATGGTTCTGTGCTCTCAAGAGGGCTGAGGGGTCAGAAAATATGAGCTGGAAAGATGGGTGGTGTCCCTAAAACACAGGAGAGAGTATCCAAGGCTCCCGGAGTCCCGTCCTATGACTTCCTGACTCTCTCAGTGAACATACCCAGGAGACAGGGGCTCACCCCAGAAAAGACAGGAAGGCAGAAGGACCCAGGACCTCACGTCAGGGGAGCTCAGGAAAGAACAGTGGCTGGTGAAGGTGGACGTGCCCACACGGGGCCATAGCTGCTTCCCGTTAGGGGGTCTACGTTCCTGCCCCTCTGGGTCCGGATCATCCAGCGCCTGGGCCTTGGAGGGCAGGGCCTGGGAGGCGACTCTGAGGTGCAACTGGCAGGAGTCCGGTGGATGCCCCGGGGGCAGTCCCGGATACACCTGTCCTGGCTGCTCTTCTGAGAGATCTTCCTTGGGACAATTCTTGCCCAGTGACACAGGAACTGCTCATCTCTGGCCTAATTCTTCTTGTCATACGGTACAACTTTTGGAGGTGTGACCAAGTCTTGCTTCTTGTTGCTCCCTGCCCCATGGTGCCCGGCAGACCCTCCACATCCAGGTGCTAAGGGATTCAAGAAAAGACCACATTCCCTCCAGGCCACAGGGGTTCCCTATCAACGCCTCACTGCCTCTACATCACAGCCCAGCATCCCTAGGCGGTCCACAGGGACCCAGGACACCAAGCACAGACCCAGGTGGCCACCAGCAGGGGCCTGAAGTGCAAGGCAAGCTCTCACGTCCACCTCCGGACTCTCTTACCCAGTGCACACCCACACCGTGTGACTCCGCACAGCCTGCCTGGGGCGGGCGGGGGAGCGAGCAGGGCCCCAGGCAGGCCATGCAGAGGCAAGGGGAGCAGCGGGGGTGCTGGCACCTGAGACCTCGAAAACAGAGGAGCCGACTGGGAGCCGGGTGCTGGCGAGATGGGAGGAAAGCCCAGAGCGTGGAGCCAGAGCAGGACGGGGAGGCCCAGGAGGGAGAGGGTGCCTGCGTCTCACAGGGGAGGACAGAGGACCAAGTTCACTGGGGAGCGGATCCAGGCCCCCCGAAGCACCTTCTAAGTAGGAATGACCAGCTGACCTGAGGCGACTGGCTCGGTCATGGGGTCTGCTGTGGGTGGCTCTGAAGTGTCCATATAGCCGGGCTGGGCATACTCCTGTGTCCCAGGCCCGCCAAAACCTGTGAGAATGCCATGATGCTCACCCCGCACCCGACCACCCTATCTAGTTCCCACAAGGACATGAGGACCCTGCTTTCCTAAAAAGCAAGTGCTGGCCCAGAATTGCCACGACAGTGGAAGTTCCACAAGCCCCAGACCTCCCCCAACCACAGTCAACCCGAGGTCCCAACAGGACAAGCCTCCAGTGCCTCCCTCTAACTCCATCCCCACCCTGGGGCCGGTCTGCACACCCCTCTCTGGATCCCTCCTGCCATCCAGCCAGAATGAGTGGGGCCTGAGTCCTGATGGTGGTGGCTGGCCTTGAGGGCTGGACACCCATGAGAGGACAGAAGAGAATGGGAGGTGAGTCTGTCACATGTAGAACACCCAGGATACACGAACGTGCTCTGAAACCAGCTCATCTTCTACATATACTTGAGACTGGCCTCAGAATCTGTGGAATCCAGGCAAAGGACAAACCTAGATCAGCCTGTCTGCAGACAACTCCGAAGAGACAGTGTACCCCTTACTGACCCCAGAGGTGTCCATCAGACAATTGCCTGGCGGCCTGAAGTGGGTTGAATTCCAGAAAGATCAGTGTCAACACTGGCACAGAAGAGCCACACCAGCTGCCTGGGGAACCGCCACTGGCAGCCACGAACCCTGCACCTGGAGATGCCCATACTCAGAGGTTCCAGCACTGAAGGCCACAGCATGCTCCAGCCTCTAAAGATGTAAAATGTAGCAACAAGGCAGAGCAAGCTGCAGGCCACACGGAGAGGACATGGGCTCTGGGGAGCCAGCGAGAGGCAGGATGGGGCTGCCAGGCTGCAGACGAGGATGGCACGCAGCACCACAGGCCTGTAAGACACTACAGAGGGTGCCCGCTGCATCCGGTGGACACCGGGGAAAGCCCCCTGAGACCCTGGCCAGGCCAAGCACAGCAGAGACGTCATGGACCACCACCTTCGCCACCCCCGCACCCTGGCACCAGGCACCAGCACAGAAAGCAGGGCGAGGAGGGAGGGTTACCTCTTGGTGTTGTAGGCCGTGTCCTGCGGTGTCTCCTCCAGCAGAGTCACGTAGCCCAATGCACAGGTGAGGATGAACAGCACGGTCAGGGTGTGGGCTCGCCTGGAATCCAAACATGCACAATGTCATGTCAGAGCTTGAACAGCGTTGCTGCACACTCAGGCACCAGGCAGGCCAGGCACCTCTACATGAGCAGAGAGCTCAAATTTCACCCTGCAACCCCCAACGCACACCTGGCCAGGGCCCCGGCTGGTGGCTCCAGACAACACCGTGTCTGCTGGCCATCAGGCTGAGACCCACCCACAGGAGGCTGGACGAGAGCCCTGTGCTCCCAGGGAGCCCAGACCGCTGCTCAGAGGCCAGGTGGGCACGTGCCGCCACCGGCATCTGTAGCAGGTGTCCACGGCTAAGAGCGACCAGGCAATAGGGAACACGGCAATCTTCACTGGCAAGACATGCTGAGAGGACCAGCCTCTTGGCTTGAGAAGTAAGGTCTGAGAGATTCAGGACGGCAGCCAAGAAACAAAGCTGGGAAGGGACACCAGGACCCAGACGGAGAAGGGCACGTGTCCCCAACAGGGTCGCCTACCCACCAGAGCCTGCGGAGGACCACTGCCCAGCTGGAGGGAGGCTGGCCTCAAGCCCCCTCCTCTGGCTTAGCCTTCAGAGCTTGAAGAAGGCTCTCTTGTCCCATCCCATCCCTAGGGGAAACGCCTCACTTGGAGACAAAGCCCACAGGCAGCTGGGGCCCAAACTGCGGAGCCAGCCACCCCAGACCACCAGCCGTGTGCGACACTCGCCCAAGACCCCTCTGCACAACTGCCTGCGACGGAGTCGGAGACCAGGTCTTGCTACGCTCACCTAAATGAAGGCCCGTCAGACCTCCAAGGACAGCATGAAGACTACGTGAACAACACACAGCAAGCTTGTGCCCGGACTCGCATCTGTGAAGCAAATTATCACAAGTAACAGTTGTACCGGAAAGAAAGGAAAAATCTAGCCTCAAACTGGGAGAAGATACTCACAATGCCACATCTGATGAAGGACTATGCATCCAGAACATATGAAGAACTCTTACAGTGCAACAAGGCCAACAGTCTAATAAAAAGTAGGCAGAAAATGGAACTGACACTTTGCAAAGAAAATACACAGATGGGCTGGGGCTGGTGGCTCAGCCTATAATTCCAGCACTCTGGGAGGCTGAGGTGAGTGGACTGTCTGAGCCCATGGGTTTGAGACCAGCCTGGGCAACTTGGTGAGACCTCATCTCTACAATAAATAAAATTTTAAAAAATTAGCCAGGCATGGTGGCACATGCCTGTAGTTCCAGCTACTTGGAAGGTTGAGGTGGAAGGATTACCTAAGCCCAGCAGGTCGAGGCTACAGTGGCTGTGAGCATGCCACTGCACTCCAGCCTGGGCGACAGAGTAAGACTCCAACTCAAAAAAAATACACAAATGGCCAAAAAGCAAATGAAAAGATGTGGCGCATCACTGGTCATCACGGAATTAACGCTGCGATAAGATACCAGAACGTGTCCCAGAGAATGGCTGAAAGGGAACACTCCCAACCCCAGGAGCTGACGAGGCACGGGGCAATGGGATGATCCCCACATCTGCAGGTGGGCTGCCAGACGGACGGTCCCTCGGAGAAGCAGTTTGGCAGTTTCTGACAGAGTTGTCAGACGTCCACTATCAAACCTGGCTACTCACTGCAGAATGTTTACTCAGGAGAAATGAAAGCACGGGTCCACTCAAAGACTTGCAGGCGAACGTTTACCTAGAATAACCTACGTGAGGCCAGGCTCGGTGGTTCAACCTGTCATCCCAGCACTTTGAGAGGCCGAGGTGAGTGGACTGCCTGAGCCCACGGGTTCGAGACCCGCCTGGGCAACTTGGCGAGACCTCATCTCTACAATAAATCAAAAATTAGCTGGGCGTGGTAGCACACGCCTATAGTTCCAGCTACTTGGAAGGCTGAGGCCGAAGGATTGCCGGAGCCCAGCAGGTTGAGGCTGCGGTGGCCGGGAGGGTGCCATTGTACTCCAGTCTGGGCAACAGAGTAAGACTCCAACTCAAAAACAAAAACAAAACAAAACAAAATAACCTAAGTGAGGCCCAAACTTCACCTGCAGGCAGCCTGTTGTGCAGCTAATCCTGACGTGTATCCCGTATCTTTTTTTAATAAAAAAATAAAATGAAATAACCCAAACTGGAAAGAAACCACACGCTTGTCCATGGATGAAGCACAGTGGTCCTCCACACAGAACACGTCTCTGCCCTCCAAGGACCAAGCAGCTGACCATGACCACACGAGGAGAAGCCCCAAAAGCACACTGCTCAGGAGGCCGAGGCAGGAGGGTCGCTTCTGCCCAGGAGCTGAAGACCAGCTTGGAGAGACCCCGTGTCGAGAGATTAAAAGAAGAAGCAGGCTGCCGAGGCCAGGTGCAAAAGAAGTCCCATCGCTGCATGTATGTTCTACGTGACAAGATAAGTTTGCATCGTGAAAGGCTGGGACGCAGGACTCCAGGTGGTGGAGGCTCTAGGTGCCAGTGTGGCACTGCTGGTGTGCGGGTGCGTCACCGGAGTGTCTTGACACGCAGCTTCACGGGGGGGGGGGGGAGGAGGAGCACAGGCTGCAGGTCCACAGGCTAGACTGTGGCCAGCGCCCACCTGTGTCTGCCCTGATGACTCCTGCACATTTACTCATCTGTATTAATTTTAGCAGCAGTATGGCACGCTGCCACAAAAAATTCCGTTAGGATTTTAGCTAACAGAATTGAATGCACCAGGTGTGAAAACTGATGGGCGATTACGTGAGCGCTCTGACTAGCAAGACAAGGATACCTCTCCATTTACTTAGGTGTTCTTTATGCCCTCTAATTAAAGCTTATTTTCTCTATGAAAAGCACCCAGTCACTTTTAAGGGGATAATCCCCAAGAGAAGAAAACAGTAGCAAATTCTTTCCCAAATCTTTTTTTTTTTTTTTTTTGAGTTGGAGTCTCACTCTGTCACCCAGACTGGAGGGCAGTGGACACTCCCGGCCACCGCAGCCTCGACCTGCTGGGCTCCGGCGATCCTTCCTCCTCAGCCTTCCAAGTAGCTGGAACTACAGGCGCCCAGCTAGTTTTTTGATTTATTGTAGAAATGAGTTCTCGCCAAGTTGCTCAGGCGGGTCTCAAACCCACGGGCTCAGGCAATCCACTCACCTCAGTCTTCCAAAGCGCGGGATTACAGGCTGAGCCACCGAGCCCGGCTTCTTTCCCAAATCTTACAACGCTACGCATTCCAGACAACCAGAGAAAAACAAGGCTTTCACTGTTATCGATCAACCACCTTTTGCTTTAAATGCATTCACATGAGCCACAAGGTTATTCAGGACACCTCAGCCTTCCAGCCAAACTCTTGCAGTGCACCAGCTTGGGACCTGGAAGACCTGTCAACAATCACAGTGAATGAAGGAAAAAACATGAAAAGAAACACATACACACACACACACACACACACACACACACACAGCACTGCAGAGTCCACGTCCCAAGCCCCTGTTCTAGGTGTGGATCCCAGGTACCCTGGGTCTGCAGGCCCAGAGGCTTGTTCCCCATGGAACACGAGCCCGTGCCTCACACGCGGCTTCCTGGGGAGGGCGAGTCTGTTAGGGGACGCAATGGAGCTCAGTTGGGCCCGGGGGGGTCCCCACTGCCCCTCCACAAAGTTGGTGAGGGAACATGGATGGACCTCTTCTCCCACAGAAGACATCAGGTTCAGGAGTGGCTCGATGGCCAAGTTAGTGGCGATGAGCGTGGCGGCGCTGGCTGAGTGCCTGCACACAGTCCTACATGCTGTGGCTCCTCCCGGGGGCAGGTCAGGACTGGCAAACGATACGGTAGGGGGCAGGGACGGACCCTGCTGGACCCTGCCAGGAGCGGTGGGGCCATTCAGTCACATGCTACGCCCACGGTAGAGGCACAGCCTGCAGCGAGACTGTCACCGAAGAATTAAGGAACCCTACATGCACGGGGGGTGAACAAGAGACGGGATCAGGGTGGGGATGGGGAGAGCAGAGGTGGGGCTTTGGGGACACCTGGGCCACACGTCCAGACCAGTCATGCCAAGTGCCAGGGCAGGAGGCAGGAGTGTGGCTGAGGAGGGACCCTGCCACGAGGGTGCCACGTGGCTCAGGGGAGCTGGAGCCACTGCGGGGCTGACAGAGGGCAGGACTGGGCTTCAGAGTCACTCGGGAGGCCCCTAGGTGCCTGTGGCCAGGAAGCTCGGGACAGGAGCTAGTGAGGTGAGGATGCGCGGGACAGGGGCTGATGACACAGGTGACGCAGCAAATGCAGGCCCAGGGAGGTGAGAACACTTGGGCGTGGGGTCTGTCCAGAAGGTGCCTCAGGGTCAGTGGAGGGTTCCGGCAGGACGTGGCCACGAGGGACACGAAGGCCGAAGGGACCAAGCAGAAATGCCCAAAGCCAGCGGCGTCCACTCCAGGCGGGGCCGACACACTTGGCTGGACTAGGGAGGCGGTGGGCCACCTTGAGCGCCCTCCCTGCCTCTCCTGTCTGTAGAACGGGGTGGGGGGCCAGAGGGACAGGTTCCTCCCACCCAAGGGAGGCAGGGGCACACTCCACCCCGGTGAAAGACCCAGAAACCTGGGTCATACCGTGCCGACCCTGCCAAGTGGGGTGCGTTTTCGGAGGAAAAAGGAAACACACAGGAACGGAGTCAGACACAGAACTGTTAGAACTGGCCCCAAGGGTGCCCCACTGATGCCCCCTCTGCATGTTCTGCACGAGCCTCTTTTCACAGGACTTCAAGACTCCAACCCAGACACAAGTCAGAAATCCCATAGACCAGAAGAAGAGGACTAAAGCTTACAAAGCACCAAGAGGAAGGAAAGGTAACAACAGGATTCCGTACGCAGGAAGAAGGCAACAAAACCCTCTCAGGGAAGGAGTCCTAGGAGAATCTGTTCTCAGCAAACCTGCCCTAAGACCTGCCCAGGTCACACCGGCCAGAGGAAGCAGATCCAGTGGCACCAGGAGTGGAGTGAGTGGCTCTCCCCTTGAAGACATGCTTCTTCAGTGAAACCCACACATTCTCGTGGGACCACCAGGGTCTGTGGCAGAACAGTGGGGCTGAGAATGGGGAGGACCAGGCACATTCACTGTGACCCCAGGGCAGCTGCTCGGAACACCACGCAAACACACATCCCCAAAACAGGACCTGGATCGAAGTGGAATATTATAAGAGTTCACATCTCCCCAAAGAAGGTGGGAAGGGGGAAAGGAGCACCAGAAAACAGGCCGCAGAGACGAGAAAGGGGCCTAAATTCAAAGCATCGACAATCAAGTGTAAATGACCTAAACACACCAGCCGAAAGACAG